CCAGGAAGTGCCTATTCACATTGCTGAGTGACATGGTGTCAGTGCATTGAGGAAGTCCACCCTATGGGCATCTTCAGTTTACAAACTTCTAGATGGATCTGGGTATTAGGATTGGGATGGAACATATGGGAATTCAATATAGAAATGCAGACTTCTTTTTGGTTTCTGACCGTAGATATCCTTTAAAGCTGAACTCGGGGGAAAAAAACGATTTTTTTTTGCCATGCATAAACAGATGACCTCTAATAATGGACGGTGGCGGCAGCATTAGGGAAATTATTACTTTCATTTATCGCAGACAATACCGTAAGCAGTGAAGTTCCAGTGCAAAAATTCAGTCCTACCTCTAGTATAGCGATGATTGCCGATCGCTCACTTTCCACCTTGTCCAATCACAACTCATCTTGTATTCTTTTCACAGAATGCAAGGCGTACCGTGCATGGACAAGGGGAAGGAGGGGGGGGGGGGGGGGTGAACGTTACGTTACCATCTCTTCCCAGGCGTTCATAAAAGGCTCCACCCCCACTTTCCAGCAGCTGAATATCCCCTTCATCACATTCTTATCTCTCCCTCAGCGGTGATCAGACTCTTCAACGCTAATTTCTTCTTTTTAGTTACAATGTTATTGAACTGTCAAAGAAAAAAATCTTCCTTGCTTCCCTCTCCTTTCTATTAGCCCTTAGTTTGTCAATCAGATATAGTGACCAATAGGGAGTTGAGGGGCAGCCCCAATTAGCCTATAGCAGCTCGTCTTTTTTTTATTTATGGAAGAGTTTTTTTGGGGCCCAGACTGACGTTGAAGCCCGGATGCAGCCAAGCTTTATTTTTGATATAGGGAGGTGGGGTTGTCTTCACTTCTGCTATTTACGAAGCAGTAAAAGTGCACATGAAGCTTTTCTGCCAGCGCTCCGTTTACCATTGGCAATACTGCGCCAGACTGACCGGTGGCCACGCCGCATCAGACTGACCGGTGGCCACGCCGCATCAGACTGACCGGTGGCCACGCCGCATCAGACTGACCGGTGGCCACGCCGCATCAGACTGACCGGTGGCCACGCCGCATCAGACTGACCGGTGGCCACGCCGCATCAGACTGACCGGTGGCCACGCCGCATCAGACTGACCGGTGGCCACGCCGCATCAGACTGACCGGTGGCCACGCCGCATCAGACTGACCGGTGGCCACGCCGCATCAGACTGACCGGTGGACCGTTGGCCACGCCGCATCAGACTCGCCGTTGGCCACGCCGCATCAGACTGGCTATACCGCATCACCGATCTCCATTGCTCCGAGGGCCTCTCTGAGATTTTCTTTGAAGATGGTAAAAACAAAAACGGCTTTTGGTTGGAAATGAAGTGCAAAGGTTTTATTAAACAAGCAGATCGCCACAAAAAGTGACATTTATTTGAGCAATAATTTTACAGTTCAACATATTAATTACATGTACAGATTGAGATCTGGCTTGCGGTGCCAGCTTTTCTTAAAGGTGACTATACTTTAGGAAAAGAAAAAGGAAGAAGCAGTCCGTGCATTAGGCAGAAGCAGCCCGTCTATCTGAGGTGATACCAGGTTACAACTGGGGCGCATCAGACTGACCTTGCGGTAAGACGAGACGCTGCTTGTAACCTCAGAACTGCTGGAAACTCTAACGCAGGGATAGCCAAACTTCAACCCTTCAGCTTTGGTTAAACTACAACTCTCATCATGGTTTTTGCCTCTTGAAGTCATTCCTGTTAGTCTTGAAATGCCTTATGGGACTTGTAGTTCCACAATAGCTGGAGGGCGAAGGTTTGCCTATCGCTGTTGTAAACACATGCAGTGCAATTCCAATGGTTACCAGGTATGAATATTTTCCTGGACAGACAGCCCACTCCGGCCTGATGCAGAGCCTGTGTTTTATACATAAAGTATAGTTATCTTTTAAAGGAGGACTTGAGTCAAATACATATGAAAATAGTAATAAGGTTATGTCTATATGTTATGCCGTGTCTTTATATTTTAAGTGAGCTCCAGTCTGTCCTTGAACTCCGCCACCTCTGTTCCGCCATTTTCCACTCATTGACTTAAGTCAGGTCTATTTATGGCTCAGATCACGCAGCCTGTAATGGCGAGTGTGGCCCTAAACATGCACAGAAAACCTGCATACAAGGCACAATGCGGACACATGAATCTGCTAATTTGTTAGCTGGTTTATTAAAGTACATTGAGGGCTCCTGCATAAGGTGCATGGAGGCTGTGCACTAAAATGCTGGCGTATTTTCCAGCGCGGGAAGCCATGGGTGCTGCATGTAGCAGTCTACTGGCAACAATGGCTGTATGGCAGGTATACGCCGGTACGGTCACAGACCCATGCATGCATGCGTACGGCTATATGCCCTGATCTCAGACAGCCTGCATTTTGGGGCAAACATACATACGCATGCAGGAGCTTAAAAACATACTGCCATATATCGGTTGTACACCCATTGTTGTCTATGAATGCCTGTATGCAGCACCTGTGGCTTCCTGGGCTGGGACATACACCCAAATTTTATGTGTGCAACCCCCATGTGCCGGTGTGCATGAGACCATAAGCCCAATTATTTTTTTCTTTGCTTTGGATAAAGTAGGGACGGGCAGAACCCCTGCTAGGTTTTTATTGCTCCTGGTATTCCCAGGTGACCATCGTTACCATGACTAAAGGTGAGAGAGAATCCAAACATTTGAACTGTCACAGGAATAGAGCGGAGAACCTCCAGTGGGGTCAAGGTTTGAAATAGGATGTCCCTCACTTTGCAGAGATCTCATCTCACTTCCTGTCGTGTTTCAAGACAGGAAGTGAGAGAAAACTACAACAAAAAGGAAACAAAAACAGGAAAAACCTAACAGGGTGTTTAACCATTTCCTACTCTATCGAACACCTAAAGCTTTTAGATCTACAAAGAGATTTGTTCTGCCTGGAGATCCCCTCTAAACTAATATCTGACCGTTTTGGTTACTACCAAAAATATTTAAAACAAAAGTGCCGTTATCATTTTTGCCCCCTTCCCCTGATCTATTCCACCTCATCCCTCCGTAGATGCATACTCCCTTTAATGCCCCGCCAGCGTTTTAGGGCACTGCAAGTCTTTACTGTACTAGCTGCATCTGTGCATTACAGCCCTATAGACTCCTATGGGACTGTGTGCCAAGGTCGGAGACGGAGGGAGACAACCCCATAGAAATCTCCAGGGCTGTAATGCACAGGCGAGGTCAGCACAGTAAAGTCTTGTGGCTCTGGATGTAAACAAAACACCGGAGGTTGCGGCTGTCGGAGCAGGGTAAGTATGCATCTAGGGAAGGGGGCGCTGCGTTTGGTTAGGTCAAGGGGAACTGAGCAAAAAAGTGCACTTATCCTTTAAGGGAGGCAAGTTGACCAAAACACAGCGACTTCCCCAGTAGATATCATCGATTACTACTGGGGGGGCAGGATTCCCAAATTGGGTTGGATGTCATTTAAAAAAAAAAGTGTTATCAATTATTCATAATTATGGGGAAAGCAAAAATTTTGTGAAGTGTTTTTGGACGACAAAGCTCCCTGAGCACCTTATTGCCGCAAAGCAAAGATTTATAGACAGCCCTTTTATTTTTAACAAATTATGACTTCATACATATATCTGCCAAAGCAAAATGAAACACTTGAATTTCTTAATGCAACCCTGTCACTTGGAGGAAGCAAAGGCAGGGACCTAGATATCCAGCGGATGATCATTCCGTGTCCATTGAGCTGCCGAATGCTGCACACCACCGCACAAGTGTGGCGATATCAGGGCACAGAGAAAATGCGTTACTGTGTGCTATGTTCACATCATACATGAACAGTGCTGTGCAGAATAAATGCAGCTGAACGAGCCCATAGAGTGCCAGGGGTGCAATACTGCAATGGCAGCCCCATCTCAAAAGTGAATAGCTCAGCCACACCCCCTGTAATGTGTAGCAGAGCTCCAGTATTTGCACACAGAGCTCCCTAAGCCCAAGGGCCCCTGTGGCATTCTGTCAAATTAAAGAGACTCCAGCCAGGTCCATTCAGCTTTATAGCCCTGCAATAGAACATAACATATTTTTCTTGTAGCTCTCCTCGGTTCTAGCCACAAGCTTCTTTGGCATTGAACACTGCTGTATATGTCCGGTGCTTGTGTCCTCGCTGTGCACTGGGGACCCCTACGAGGCAACAAGACTCAGAAGTGACATGGGACGTCATTGGAAGGACCAATGTGCACCTGGGGGGTTGGGGGCACAAGCCTCCCACTCCTGGGATGCTGAAGAAGCTTCGCGAGGATGCAGTGCTGGAACGGAGGAAAGGTAGGTGAAACGAGCCACCGCAGAGGTGAGTATATGTCGTCCTATAATGCATAAGCTTTTAAAGCTGTAGAGACCTGACAGGGTATCTAAGAATGCCCTGGCACACCCAGGCCTTTATTCAAGTGGCAGAGGTACTTGAAGGTGCAGGGAATCGGATTCCAGATTATAAATTCAACCCAGGACCCCATTTTACCTACAGAAGGCAAAGTGTATCCATTTATCACAGTGGAGCTAACCATTCGTGTTGTTCGGAGCCTAATGTAATCACAAAAAGCTGATTTGGTACACTTTGACAAAAAAAACACCTCTGAT